GCTGAGAAAAATGTGTATTCTGATGTTGTGGGGTGGAACACTCTGTAGACATCTACTAAGTCCACTTGTTCACAGCTTTGGTTCAGATCTGTTATTTCCTTGCTGATTTTTTGTCCACTTGACCTATCTCTTTGTATCAATGGGGTGTTGAGGTCCCCTGTTACAATACTGTTATTAGTTATATGGGTTTTCATGCCTGCTAAGATTTGTCTTATATGACTTGGAGCTCTGACATTTGGTGAATATATGTTTATGATTGTCATCTCATCCTCTTGCAGTTTTCCCCTGACTAGTATGTAGTGACCTTCTTTATTTCTTTTGATTGTTGCTGGTTTGAAGTTTTCATGGTCTGCAAACAGAATAGCTACAACTGCTTTTTTCTGGGTTCCTGTTGCATGAAGGATTGTTTTCCATCCTTTGACTTTTAGTCTATGGATTTCCTTTCCAGTGAAATGTGTTTCCTGTATACAGCATATTGTTGGATTTTGTTTTTTAATCCATTCTGCCAGTCTGTTTCTTTTGACTGGAGAATTGTGGCCATTTACATTTATAGTTATAACTGATATGTGTGGATTTATCATTGTCATGTTATTTACTTGTGTTGGTGTCCTACTTTTTCTACCTGTTTACTTGATTGCTCTTCTTGACATTTCCTTTCTACTGCTGTTCTTGAAATTGCAGTCAGGTTTTTCTCTGTCTAGAATATCTTTTAGTACTCTTTGTAATGCTGGTTCAGTGCTCATGAGGTTCTTCAGTTCTTTGTCATGAAAATATGTTATTTCTCAGTTGAATTTGAAGGATAGTTTTACAGGGTACATCAGTCTTGGTTGGAAGCTGTTCTGTCTCAGGACCTGTAATACTTCACTCCAAGCTCTTCTCGATTGGATGGTTTGTGCTAAGAAGTCTGCCGTGATTCTGATGGGCTTTCCTTTATAGGTAATGTGTTTCTTTTCTCTATCAGCTTTTAATATTCTGTTCTTTTGCTGGAGATCTGGGAACTTGACTATTATATGTCTTGGTGTAGTTTTATTTTGGTTGTGATCATTTGGAGTTGTATATGCCTCATTTACCTGTATATCAGGTTCTATTTCCATGCTTGGGAAATTTTCTGCTATTATTTCTGCGAATATTCTTTGTATGTCAGTTGTTTTGCCTCCTGCTATTTCATTGACTCCTATAAGTTGTACATTATTCCTCTTTGCCTCATCTTGCAGCTGCTGAATTGACTTTTCCTGGATCCTTGTTGATTTTATGAGACCCATTCTTTCATGGTTGCTAGCTGCCATGCTGTCTGCAAAGTCTGAGATTCTATCTTTGGCTTCATTCAAGTGGTTTTGGCAGCTTTCAATGGAAGCTTCCATTTTCCTGGAAGTCTCTTTGAATCTGGTTCATGCATTCTAAGTCCTTTGTATAGTTTTCATTTAATGCTTCTGTCCATTGTCTTTGTTCTTCTATTTTCTTATATGTTTCTTCTTCAGACTTTGTGAGCATTTCCTTCATTATTCTTGTCATTTCACTTTTTGTCTGAGAGATTATTTCTTATCTCATCTCTTCTATGGCCTTATGGAGTTGTTTCTTTACTTCCATTGCAATCATCTCAGCTATTTCAGGCACGTGTTTACCAAATTCTCCTATATCTGTGTCTCCTAGACTTGTTCTGAGTGGGGTGGAGTTCTGGGATTGTGTTTCAGTCCTTCGTTTTGTCATGTTTGCTAGTGGATGCAGAAAACTCAGTTTCCCCCTTCAGTAGATGCACAGCAAAGGCCACTAGTGTCCCTAGTTTTGCTGTTGGTCAGGTTTGCCCCTCAGTGACCCCTGAGAAGCATTACTTAGTCTCAGGTTTTCTGGCAGTTGTTGATTTGTATCTAGTTATCCCTGGTCTCAGACACGGGCATTGGTGTCAGCTGATGACAGACCATCTGATCCAGCATCCCCTTGCAGATTAGGGCACGTGCACGGCCCAGACTCGGGTTGCACTGGTGTGACCATCCTCGTCCATTGAATCTACATCCCCAGGAAGTTCAGGGTACAGGCAAAACCCAGACACAAACTGCAGGGTCAACAGTTTGTGAACCACCTGATTCCGTGTCTCCAGTCAGTTCAGGACACACAGGAACCAGATCCAGGCCAGACAGGCAGCAATCACAGACTGGCCTTGCCTGCGACCCCCCTAGGGGGTCCAGGTGAAGGTAAAGCACTGACTCGAACCTTGGAACCAGCAGCTCTTGGAGCACTCGCTCACTCTGCACAGGGCGCATGCAGCGGAGAGGCCACACATGCCGCCCCTAGCTAGAACAGTCCCTGGGGCTTCTGAGTGAGGACCTCCTGTCTGCTGCGGGTGCAGGGAAGGCAGAGACTCAGTTTGTAATGACAGTGGGGTCCTGGGTCACCGGCTCTGCCCCCAGGAAGTAGATGGGAAATTCCTGGCTCTCTCCACGAGTTTCAGCTGGGAACAGTGGCAGTGTGAGTAAAGTATGGACTCAAACCGCGGGACCAGCAGCTCTTGATGCACTCGCTCACTCAGCACAGGGCGCATACAGGGAGAGGTCATATGTGCCGCCCCCAGCCAGAGAAGTCGCTGGGGCTTCTGAGTGGGGACCTCCTGTCTAGCTGTCTCCGCGAGTTTCAGCTGGGAACCGTGGCAGTGGAAGTAAAGCATGGACTCGAGCTGCGGGAGCAGCACCTCTTGGAGCACTTGCTCACTTGGTGCAGGGCGTGTGCAGGGAGGGCTTACACCTAATCTGACTATTTTTATGAGATAAGCAAGAGGAAGTTGCCTGATGAAACCATAAACTCGGGTAGTTATTACACTTAATCTCCTAATGCCCAGCAAGGGCATTTCCTGCAGCCCCCATGATCACCAGGAATTACAACTCCCAGAGTCAATGATGTCCATAGTGGAATGTTACAACAAAATCCACAAAGATGGTGCAGGCCAGAGACGGGTGCAAAGGATGGGATCTTTCTTCCTCATAGATCCACAACTTCCTCTAATTTGCTACAGAAGCACAAAGCCTCCAGATTTCTCTACAACCTCAAAGGTGAGATCACAGTTCAACACTGGAGACCAGCCATCAGGAACCCATTTCCACAACCTTAGAACAAAACTCTCTGGCCAGTCAGCTTACTACTCGGGACCCTAACTCTATCATCAAAGAAGGAAGGACTCCTCTGCTTCTGCAGGTGACCTGTTTTTTCCTAAGTGACTTTTCCTGTAAAACTCTGTCTACACCATCTACGAAGTAGCCAGGAGCCCAAGCCTCATACATAGCATAGCACCCCAGCAAGCCGGTGTCATCCAGGGCAGGAGCAATGGGGTGAGAAGGGTGGACAGGTGAGGCCGGGCTCAGACTAGGTTCTTTTGGTCTCTGTAATCAAGACAAAGAGCTGCACAGAGTGTATCAGATATGAGTAGTTCAGTGTAAGAAGGACTGTTCAGGAAGTAGGCACAAACAGATATGGGACAAATAGACGGAAAGATGAAGCTTAAAAACACTAATAAAGGTGAAGCCAAATTTCCTTCCGGAAAGTCCTCTATCAACTTACATTACTTTTGGGATTTAATTCAGTATCAAGTCAAATACATGCGGAATAGACACCTTTTTTGAGGTTCTCAATGACATTGCTTAAGTGACATACCTTATTCTAACCCTCTTAACTTTCCTGTTCCTTAGTATATGTACACTTAACCCTACCCTGCAGAAGTGGACCATCTCAGATATTCACCCTTTAAATGGCCCTGTCTAGGGCTCATTGGGAATTCCTTTCAAGACAGAATCTGACTTGTAGGTGATGGAGAAAATTAGCTTCATCTCCATGAGACTTAGTACAAGACTCTATGTATTTTATCCTGTTTCCCATATAAGCATAGAAAATGCACAAAACAGTCCAATATTTTGACAACAAGGTTGCACCTTTCTAAAAGAACACACACATTCACAAAACTTCAGTCATCATTCAATACCCAGTTTTGGTTCAGTATTAAGGGAGAAAGCTGTCTTTGTCATTAGTACAATATGGTGAGCAAGTGTAGGACAGCAAAGATCCTGAAGTAGGCACAGTTTAAAAGGATGTGATCTACAGCTAATAGACCTCTTCCCTCAGTTTGTGTTGGATACTTTGGGTAGGATTACAAGGGGTAGAAGAATCTTACAAGGACTGCTTTCACCTTCAGTGCCACCTGCCTCATAAGCTACCTAGAAGGGAAGAGAATAAATTTCTTTTTTCCCCATCCATGTGACTACTAGGGCTCAGCTTAGTTGCCTGAAAAGGAGAAACTATCACTGAACCAAGAGGAGGGAATGGTGTCCATGGGCAGAGATACCAGTGTCTATGGCTGCATCTGGGAAGATGGAAATCAACTGAGATCCCAGAAGATCCCAATTGCCAAGCAGAGAACCCAGCAAGTAAACAACTGTGGAAATAAATGTGACAGGAAAAAAATTGTCTTCTTGGTTTTTCTTGGGTTGTGGCGGAATATAGTGATAGAATTTCATTTGGTTTGCAGAATGGCACTATATGCTGTGAGACCTGGATTATAAAATATAAACTCATTCAGACTTTATCTGTGTTATTTTGTGAATCTCTGTTTCTTCTCCTGTAAAATAAGCTGTCATAAATATAAGATACTGAAGTCTTTCATTTCTAATAGGCTGTGATCTCAGCGTTCCTTTCCAACATAGTTATCTCGTCCTGCCACTTGTGGAAAGACCACCTAATGCAAAAGCATTTCCTATAAGAAAGGGCTATTTAGAATATTTGTCAAACATAGTGACCTTTGTAAATGGAAACACACATATTGCATAACAAGAAAGGTAGTTACTATTTTCTAAACAAAATCTGAACTGGTAAGCATAACACATAAACTAAACAACATAACCCCAGGAGTGAGAATTTGTCATACCATAGTAAAATAATAAACAGAATGCATTATAGCCAGAAAGTAAGTTTTAAGAAATCTTCATCTGATTAGATGTTTTTTGACTTGGCATTTGTTAAAACACAAACTTATTAAGAATTTATGAAATTGATAAATTAAATAATAAAGAGATCATAAATATTTAGTGGTACTGAAACACTAGGAACATGCTCCCTTATGTTAATTCAGCAGCATTAAAAATGCTGTCAGTGATTTTTTTATTTCTAAAACTAGTTAAATATAACATCTCAGATATTTTATAGAATTTCACAAAAAATAGCAAAATTTACCAAGAGAATAAGGCAAAACTTTTCCCAAAATCAAGATTTTAATGGAGTCACCTCCAAAATTCTACATCTCAAACTTGCAAAGGCTGAAATTACATTGTATTATATTAAAAAGCAAGAATCAATCAGTAGAATAGAAATGCATTTATAATCCAAGAAAAAATTCAGCCTGTAATGGGCCAAAAAAACACATTCTTTTTCATCATCATCCTCCTGAAAGTAATACTTAGTAAGACCAAAAGAGAAGATGAAGGGTATAATGAAAGGTATATAGATAGGAGAGAATTAACAGTCTTTGTTCACAGATGATATAATCATCTATGTAGAAGATTCAAAAGATTAGGTTAAAAACCCATGTGACTATAAGCAAGTATGTCAAGGGTGCAGGTTATGATATTATCATACAAAATCAACCATTTTCTGGTCACAGTTAGAGACCATACTCATAAGTGAAATAAATCAGACCTGCATGTGCAAGCACTGCATTGTCTCACTAGTGTAAAACCTGAAAGAGTTAATAAAAACTTGGAGGTATGATAGACATTGTGAAATGAAAGTAAAATGCTCAAGGGTAAAGGGCAACTGGGATGTAGGAAAAGAAGGGAAAGAGGGAGAAATTTTGTATGTATATATAGGATAGTTAACATAGTTGATCTACTGTCTTCTGTTTCTTTACTGAAAGAAACTGTTAATGAGTCCTTGACTGATCAATATTGCACGTCTTTATCTGTTTTCATGAGAAACCACTTTGAAGATATCAATATGTAATACAACAAGCATTGTTAACTTCTTCCCACTTTGTTTGTAGCTCTGTATTTTTTGTATTGTTCTTTTGATATTTTGTAAATGGTTGTCTGTCAATATTTCCTCCTTTTATTTTTAAAATAAAAAATCAAACATTTTCACATTATCATCAATGTAAAAATTTAATTAGAAACTAAAAATGATGTCACATGTTACCACTCTCAAAAAGAAATACTTGAGCATAAATCTAATACAGTATATCCAAGTTACACAACTAATAAAATAAAAACTAAATAAATGGACAGATATTCTAGGAATACCTAATGTTGTAAAAATGTCAATAAGAGCCATGGAAAGCAATGGAACCAGTATAGAATAGAATATCCCAGGGTACTGACAAGAAATGGGTCAGACCTCATACGGACATAAACACAATTCTGAAGCAGTTTAACCCATTTGGACTATGACTATCTGCCTCAAACTGTCTATATGAAGCAAAACATTTTTTTCCTAGAGTAAGAGAAGATCAGATCAGAGTGTCAATTTTATTTCTAAAAAATCACATATTCCTGAAGACAGGACCAAATGACCCCAAAACAAGAGCAAAACCTGAAGAAACAGATCCACAGGAATCCAGATATTGGAGTTACTACAATGACTTTGATTAATATGCTCAGGAAAATAGATAACAAAATGTAGGTTACCTCTAGAAAACCGGAGTTATAAAATAGAAACAAAATTATAAAGATAAAAAATATAAAAACCAAAATTAAGAGAAGAGTAACACAGTAGAAGGTAGGTAAAGAGAAACTATCAAGACTGAAATATAAAGACAAAAGCAAAACTAAGTACGACATTAAAAATCTTGTGGGAAACAATAAAGTCTAATGTACATTTAGAATCTTGGAATAGAATAAGACACAGTAACACATGAAAATCATGTTAAACATTTAAAAACCAGGAAATTGCAAAGGAAACATTATGGTGACTGTTATGGTTTGTGTTTGGGTGTCCCCCCAAAACATCATCCAGTCATGGGGCGGCTTCTAGAGTTTATGATTCATGGGTGTGAGTGCTACACCCACCCTGGAGCGGGTAGTTTGCATACAATGTAAGGGAGGGAAAGAGGCTGCTTGCCACGCTTCTCCTTGTGCTCTTCCTGCTTTTCCGGTTTTCTGCCTCCATGAACTGTTGCCCTTTGCCATGTGCCACTCTGCCTTGGAGCCAGTAGAGTATGGACTGAAACCTCCACAAACTGTGAGCCAAATAAACCTTTCTGTCTTTAATTTTGGGCATCAAGGAGTTTGTTTCAGCAATGAGAGAAAGGTAACTAAGACAGTGAGAAAGAAATTTGAAGAAGTAGTTACCATCTTTGGGGCAGGAGAAACAGAGTAGGATGGGTCAGAAGCATCTATAGGCTTGCAGGAGAGGCTCCATGAACTGGAACTCAGATCCCTGCAGAGGAGTACTGCTCACCTGTTCTGCTATCTCAAAACAGCAGAGTAGAGGTGCCATGGAGCTGGGAAGAGGGGGTTTTCTTGCAGCTATTGGCCAGTCTGAGAGGCATGAGGAAGCTAGTCCTGGGTTGCTGAGAAAAAACGGAAAGTGGTTTCCAAGCTAACCCTGGGATGACACAAATAGCAAACAGCTTCCCTTTAATGCTGAGGTAGATGCTTTCTAGATCCTGCACATCACAAAGCTGAGCAGGGTTTTGGAGATGACAAAACAGTTTATCACTGGAGACCTCCAGCAGGATAAACACAAAGTAAACCATACTTAACCAAGATATGGAAGCAACCAATGTACTTATCAAAGGATGAATGGACTAAAAAATGTGAGTGTAAAAATCTTAAAGTTTACATGAAACTGCAAAAGACCACACATAGTCAAAGCAATATTAAATAGGCAGAGAAGTGGAGGTATCATACCTTCTAACCAAAATGCAATGATATTGGCATAAAAATAAAGATGAGAATGGGGAGTAACTCAGTAGTAGAGTATCTGTCCAGTGTGCACAAGGCCTTAGGTTTGATCTCCATTGCTGGAAAGAAGAAAAAAAAAAGGACCAGTGGAACAGAATAGATATACCAGGAAAAAACCCATGCTATTTATGGTCAGTTGATAGTTTGTTAGTTTTTCTTAATGACTTTTATTGGTACATTTTTGGCATATATGATGATGATCACATTCATCATAGGGAATTTGTACATGCACATGATATAACTTGATTCTTTTTTTCCATTCCCTTACTTTCCCTTCAACCCTCATACCGTCCTTATTTACAAAGCTTTGTTTCCAATTTTTCCTTCTCTCATTTTCTAAATTTGTCCACTCCTTCCTTTTCCACTCTGCCCCCCCCCCTCTTGATGCTTTTCTTTCAGGAAGATATCAGGAAGGAGAACAGCTGGGTAGGATGGAACCTCTACTCCTAGTTTTTTGAGGAATCTCCATACTGATTTCCACAGTGGTTTCACCAGTCCAAACTCCCACCAACAGTGGAGAAGGGTTCCTTTTTCTTCACAGCCTCACCAGCATTGGTTATTGGTTGATCTCTTGATAATAGCCATTCTTTCTGGGGTGAGATGGAATCTCAGCACTGTTTTAATTTGCATTTATCGAATGACTAATGATAGTCATACTCATTTGCCATTTCTCTTTCTTCATCTGAGAAGTATCTATTCATTTCAGATGCACATTTTGGGGCTGGGTCTTTAAATTTGAAGGGTCTGCTTTTTTTTTTTTTACTTCTTTATATATTCTAGATAGTAGCCCTTCATCAAAGGAACAACTAGCTAAAATTTGTTTTCCCATTCTGTGGGTTGTCTCTTCATTCTGTTGGTGGTTTCTCTTGCTGTGCAAATCTTTTGAAGAAGATGATATCCTACTTGTTGATTCTTTGTGGTAGTTCCTGTGTGATCAGGGTTTTCTTCATAAAGTCTTTCCTATACCTATGTCTTCAAAAGTTCTACCTACTCTCTTTTCCAGCAGACTTAGTGTTTCTCTTTTACTATTAAGATCTTTGATCCATTTCAACTTTAGTTGAGTGCATGGTAAAGACATGGGTCTAATGTTCATCTTCAGATGTGGAAAGCCAGTTTTTCCAGCACCATTTATTAAAGAGGCTATCTTTCTTCCAGTAACTGGGTTTGGGACCTTCATCAAAAGCCAGGTGGCTAACTACA